TACAATATATATACATTATATTATATACAATATAATACTGTATATTATATTTTATATAATATACAGTATATATACACACACACACACGCATACATACATACACTTTCTGTATATATTTCAGATTTCAATATTAATGTCAAAAATACGTAGTATGATTTTACGTAGGATTTGTGCTACATTAGTAGAGACAAATAGCAGTAGAGTAAAATAAATATTAAATATTAAATAACCAGAAAAATAAAATAAGGTGTAAACACTAAACTAATATGGGAATCTGCTATTGCAACACATCCAATGAAGTGGTTTAAAACTAGTATAAAAAAAGATTAGGACTAAGTACATACATACACACATATATACATATACAGTATATATACCTTGTGTGTGTACATATATACTGTGTGTGTGTGTGTATATATACATACACACACATCCACACAGATACATACATACACACACATATATGTATATATACACATATACATATATATATTAACATTTTATTTTTCAGAATGAATCAAAACTTAAAGTAAGGTGGAAAAATATGATTATATATATATATATATATGTATATGTATATGTATATATTTATATATGTGTGTGTATGTGTATTACATATATATGTTTGTGTATGTATATATATACACACACAAACATACATACACATATACACATATACATATACAGTATATATACATTGTGTGTGTACATATATACTGTGTGTGTGTATATATATATATATACACACACACATACGCACACATATATGTATATATACACATATACATATATATTAACATTTTATTTTTCAAAATGAATCAAAACTTAAAGTAAGGTGGAAAAATATGATTATATGTATATGTATATGTTTATATGTGTGTGTGTGTATGTGTATTACATATATATGTTTGTATATATACACACACACACACAGACATACATACACATATACACATATACATATACAGTATATATACATTGTGTGTCTGTGTATATACTGTATATATACACACATATATACATCCACACAGATATATACATAATACACACACCTATATGTATGTTTACATATATACATATATATTAACATTTTATTTTTCAAAATGAATCAAAACTTAAAGTAAGGTGGAAAAATATGTTTATATATATATACGTATATGTTTATATATATGTTACATGTATATATATGTTTGTGTATATATATACACACACATACATACACACAGACATACATGCATACACGCACATATGTACGTATACAATATATATACAGTGTGTGTGTATATATACTGTATATATACACATATATACATCCACACAGATACATACATACATCTACACACGTATATATACATATATATTGACATTTTATTTTTCAAAATGAATCAAAACTTAAAGTAAGGTGGAAAAATATGTTTATTATTTCATATTTCTACTTATGGTGGCAGCCCCTTTCTGTGTCCTACAGTTCAGCAGTTTTTCACCCTCTTGTTCCATGGTAAACTCATCAATGGGAAATCTCTATGTTTCTCCCTTATTTTATTTTATAAAGATTGAGTTTATTGGTTAGTTTTTGCTTGGCAGAGATGGAGGGATGTCATAATGGAATGAGAGTATTTTATGGGACTGTGAATTTATGATGTTGTGTTGATTGCTTATTGTCTACTCATATGTTTTGTTTTGCATGTCACAACTTGTTGTGTTTTGCATGTCACAACTTGTTGTATTTTGCATGTCACAACTTGAGGGTTTTGTGAGCCACCCTGAGTCCCTCTGGGAGATGGTGTCAGGATATAAATAAAAGTTGCTTATTATTATTATTATTATTATTATTATTATTATTATTATTAATTTGAAACACAACGAGATGAGTCCACAACAGACAAGACCACTCTGATGGCTGATGCATTGGATCACACATCGGACACTTCCCAAGTGTCTAGGACTGTGTGATGTATCGGTGAATAATACATACAGATTCCAGTAAGGTTGCCTTCTGCAGCTGCAGATGGTAATTTTGTCAGCGCCGATTGTGTTTAAGTGCAGGCCAAGGTCTTTAGGCACTGCACCCAGTGTGCCGATCACCACTGGGACCACCTTTACTGGCTTGTGCCAGTCTTTGCAATTTGCAACTCTTTAAATCCTCATTGCAATTCTCATTGTAATTCTTTAAATCTTCATATCGTATTATTATTATTATTATTATTATTATTGACACAAAAGCACAGTATGTCACAGCAAACGAAATCTATATGCTGGATTTTGTATCACAAAATCACAAGTCAAATTATTATTATTATTATTATTATTATTATTATTATTATTATTATTGGGTTAGGTTCCTTTGTTTTTTATGTTAGTGTCTGTTTTTGTGTTAATTTGTTGTGCAAAGGGTAGAATAAAATAATAATATTTCTTTCTTTAATGCATTTCGAATTGACTACCTTGTTTAATGATGAATCGAGAGAGTGCATCTGTGGAGTTTAGTATCGCTTGTGCCAGCAGGACTGAAGACCGACAGGTCGCAGGTTCGAATCTGGGGAGAGTGCGATGAGCTCCCCCTGTCAGCTCCAGCTCCCCATGCGGGGACATGAGAGAAGCCTCCCACAAGGATGGTAAAACATCATAGAATCATAGAATCAAAGAGTTGGAAGAGACCTCATGGGCCATCCAGTCTAACCCCATTCTGCCAAGGAGCAGGAATATTGCATTCAAATCACCCCTGACAGATGGCCATCCAGCCTCTGTTTAAAAGCTTCCAAAGAAGGAGCCTCCACCACACTCTGGGGCAGAGAGTTCCACTGCTGAACGGCTCTCACAGTCAGGAAGTTCTTCCTCGTGTTCAGATGGAATCTCCTTTCTTGTAGTTTTAAGCCATTGTTCCGCGTCCTAGTCTCCAAGGAAGCAGAAAACAAGCTTGCTTCCTCCTCCCTGTGGCTTCCTCTCACATATTTATACATGGACATCATGTCTCCTCTCAGCCTTCTCTACTTCAGGCTAAACATGCCCAGCTCCTTAAGCCGCTCCTCATAGGGCTTGTTCTCCAGACCCTTTATCATTTTAGTCGCCCTCCTCTGGACACATTCCAGCTTGTCAATATCTCTCTTGAATTGTGGTGCCCAGAATTGGACACAATATTCCAGGTGTGGTCTAACCAAAGCAGAATAGAGCATGGGGATCATGACTTCCCTAGATCTAGACACTATGCTCCTATTAATGCAGGCCAAAATCTCATTGCCTTTTTTTGCCGCCACATCACATTGTTGGCTCATCTTTAACTTGTTGTCCACGAGGACTCCAAGATCTTTTTCACACGTACTGCTCTCGAGCCAGGCCTCATCGTCCCCCATTCTGTATCTTTGCATTTCGTTTTTACTGCCGAAGTGGAGTATCTTGCATTTGTCACTGTTGAACTTCATTTTGTTAGTTTTGGCCATTCATCTCTCTAATCTGTCAAGATCGTTTTGAATCCTGCTCCTGTCCTCTGGAGTATTGGCTCTCCCTCCCAATTTGGTGTCGTCTGCAAACTTGATGATCCTGCCTTCTAGCCCTTCATCTAAGTCATTAATAAAGATGTTGAACAGGACCGGGCCCAGGACGGAATCCTGAGGCACTCCACTTGTCACTTCTTTCCAAGATGAAGAGGAAGCCTTGGGGAGAATCATCCTCTGGTTTCGTCCATTTAACCAATTACAGATCAAAAACATCCAAGCGTCCCCTGGGCAACATCCTTGCAAAAGGCCAATTCTCTCACACCAGAAGCGACTTGCAGTTTCTCAAGTCTCCCCTGTGGAAGTATCACTTTAAATGCCCTGGCTCAATTCTACAGATTTGTAACTTTGGTAAGGTAGAAAAGACTAAAGGACTTGCAAAACTACAACTCTCATGATTCCATAGCATTGAGCCCTGCCAGTGAAAAGTGATGTCAAGCTGCATTAATCCTACAGTGTAAAAGGTTTCCCTGGAAGCGAACTCAGAAGCATCATCTCCGAGCAACGAAAAAAGAAGTAGAGCCTTGTGTGAGTCTATGTTTTCCTCTCTGCTCTCTCCTCAGCCGGCCCCTCCCACCCAGAGGATGCCTTTGGAAGAGACAGGTGAGCTTTCCCCGTAGAGGTAAGGCAAAGGGATGCCCCTGGGGTTCACCCCCAGCACCGGCTCCCATTTGACTTTGCCCCAGGGATGCAGAGGTCACAGGCGATGGATGGTCTTGATCCCTGGTGGGAATTTGGCTCAATGAGTGGGATGGTGGGGATGCAACATTTCCAGCACCAGGAGCATCCCGGCAATGATAGGGAAAAGGAAGCGGCCCTTCCTAGATTTCTTCCTCCGCATCATCATCATTGTCCCTAACCTAGAAACCAAAATCTCAGGTGGAGCCACACCTTTCGGGGAGATACCTGCCTTTGGCCTGAAAGCATCCACAGAAGGGAGGGTCTTCTTTGCAGCTTTGCAGGGATCAGCATTGGATGTTAATACGCTGCAATTGCAATAATAATAATAATAATAATAATAATAATAATAATAATAAATGGGTGCATTCAGACAAGGCATGGACCAACTTCGGCCCTCCGGGTGTTTTGGACTTCAACTCCCACAACTCCTAACAGCCGGTAGGCTGTTAGGAGTTGTGGGAGTTGAAGTCCAAAACACCCGGAGGGCTGAAGTTGGCCCATGCCTGGTATAGAGTAATGCAACACATAATTGCAAGACTAAATTGTGGGTTAACTGTGTTCTTTCTCTTTCCAGTTTCCTCTCCATCTCCTTTTTTTGCATCTCGCCAGGAAGGGAGCCTGCTGGGCCAGTCTAGAACATATCCTGTATAGAATGTAGTCTAGACTGTCTAGAATGTAGTCTAGATAGTAGAATATCGGTCACACTTCTCAAACATTGTCTAGAGAGTCTGGAATGTACATTATCTGGTTGGTCTAGAATTTAGTCTAGATAGTTTAGAATGTAGTCTAGACAGTAGAACAGTGGTCAGACTTCTCAAACATTGGAGAGTCTGGAATGTACATTATTTGATTGGTGTAGAATTTAGTCTATATATGTTATCTGGACAGACTAGAATGTAGTCTACACAGTCTAGAATGTAGTCTAGACAGTAGAACATTGGTCAGACTTTTCAGTAGAACATCCATGTGACTTCTCAAACATTTTCGGGAGAGTCTGGAAGATACATTGTCTAGAAAGTCTAGAATGTAGTCTAGACAGGAGAATATCAGCCAGCTTTCTCAAAGATTGTCTATAGTCTGGCCTATACATTGTCTAGACAGTCTAAAATATAGTCTAGACGGTAGAACATTGGTCAGGCATCTAAAAGGGAGCCTGCAGGGCCAGTCTAGAACATAGGGTGGTCTAGAATGTAGTCTAGACAGTAGACCATTGGTCAGACTTCTTAAACATTGTCTATAGAGTCTGGAATATACATTGTTTAGGCAGTCTAGAATGTAGTCTAGGCAGTAGAACATTGGTCAGACTTTTCAAAGATTGTCTGAATAGTCTGCAGTATACATTGTCTGGGAAGTCTAGAATTTAATCTAGACAGTAGAACATCCATGTGACTTCTCAAACATTGTCTGGAGAGTCTGAATATATATTGTCTGGTCAGTCTAGAATGTAGTCTAGACAGTAGAACATTGGTCAGACTTCTCAAACGTTGTCTGAAGAGTCTGGAATATACATTGTTTGTTCAGACTAGAATGTAGTCTAGACAGTAGAACATTGGTCAGAGTTCGTAACATTGAAGAGTCTGGAATATACATTGTCTGGACAGTTTAGAATGTAGTCTAGACAGTAGAACATTGGTCAGGCACCTAAACATTGTTTGGAGTGCCTGGAATATACATTGTCTGAAAAGTCTAGAATTTAATCTAGATCATATAACATCAGTGTGACTTCTCAAACATTGTCTGGAGTGTCTGGAATATACATTGTCTGAATAGTCTAGAATGTAGTCTTGACAGTAGAATATCAGTCAGACTTCTCAAACATAGATTGTACAGTCTGAAATATAATCTATTCAGCCCAGAACACTATCCAGACTTTTCCCTTGTGTGCTGATCACTTTGGAAGCCCACCTGAAGATGAAAATGGAAGAACCCAGAGATCCTGCATTAGGGAACGCCTGGGAACGAACTGAGGAGGTGCCTCGCGTCTTTCCGGCTGAAAATATCCAAGAGTTCCTGCATCGGATAAAAGGCGAACGGCTTCGGAAGGAATCGTGCGAGTGGAACGAGGCCTTCCAGCAATGGGAAGACCAATGGGAGGAATTCCTGGAGAAGATGGCTGCTCCTCACGCCAGGTGGGGAACCCCATGTGGCGCGACTGAGGAGCCCACGCCATGGGGAGACACGAAGGGCTTTCTGGAGGCCTTTGAGCAAGTGGCCAGGGCTTGTCGGTGGCCCAAGGACGAGTGGGTGGCCCGCCTTTCTCCAGCCCTCAGCGGGGAAGCCAAGCAGGCCTTCGGGCGGCTGGAGACCCGCGACCGAGGTGACTACGGGAGGGTCAAGGCAGCCCTTCTGGAAGGGGACGCCCACGGCCGGGAGAGGCAACGCCAACGCTTCCGGTGCTTCGGATACCAAGAGGCCGAGGGGCCGCGAGGGGCTTACGGGCATCTCCGGCAACTGTGCCAGCGGTGGCTGAGACTTGAGCGGCACTCCAAAGAGCAGATCCTGGAGCTGTTGGTTCTGGAGCAATTCCTGGCCATCTTGCCCTCGGAAGTCCGGTTCTGGGTTGGCCAAAGCGTGCCGGAGACCTGCTCCCAGGCGGTGGCCCTGGCAGAGGACTTCCTCCTCCGGCAGCGAGGGACCAAGAACCAAGAGACACAGGCAAGACTCGTTCCCTGTTGGGGAACATTGTGCTTCCTTTCCTGGGTAGGGCAACCCTTGCACTTTTGCACCATTACACTATGTAACAAAAATGAAGGGCGTATTAGAACCGGGACAGTTCCGTAATCCAGGCAGAGGTCAGAAGGAGGCGCTAGAGAGAGAAGGATAGTCCATTTTAAAGGGGTGGAGGGTGGGTTGAAGGAGGAAAACCTGTGAGTGAGTAGATCAATAGGTACCACTCCGATGGGAAGGTAATGGCACTACATGCAGTCATGCCAACTGCACCAACCCCCAGAGTCGGACTCGACTAGACGTAATGTCAAGGGGAAACTTTTACCTTTATTGCAATGTATGTCCAAAGAACAATAACCTCAGTTTAGCTCTTTTGGCTTCTGTCATTCTTTTGCTTATGTTCTATTATTGTTGTTGTTTTTATTTCTTTTCTGCACTACAGGTAGGATTGGAGAAGGATGCTGAAGACTTCTCTAGGGATAGCCGGACCTCACCGGATGTCGAACAAAGACCACCATGCATTGAAGGCAAGGAAGATGGGAATAGCATGTTGGGTAAGGAGGGAGATGCACTTCTATTCACCATTTCCTGGATGGCATGAAAGTCTTGTCGAAGTCTTTCATGGCCAGAATCACTGGGTTGTTGTAGGTTTTTTCAGGCTATATGGCCATGGTCTAGAGGCATTCTCTCCTGACGTTTCGCCTGCATCTATGGCAAGCATCCTCAGAGGTAGTGAGGTCTGTTGGAACTTTAGAACTGTTGGAACTGTAATTTTAGAGTTTTTTAATACTGGTAGCCAGATTTTGTTCAGGAGGAAACCATGAAAATGAACAAACTCTGTTACCAGTATTAAAAAAACTCTAAAATTACTATAGCACAACAACAGAGAGGAAGCAAACAAGGACATCTAATCACCTCTCAACAAAAGATTGCTCCAGGCACTGCCAGGCAATCAAATGCTAATCAAGGTGGTCAGTTGAAACATTCACACCTAGCTCCAGCAGACAAGGATTGTGGCAGAGGCTGGTGGCCATCTGTTGGGGGTGCTTTCAAAGCACCCCCAACAGATGGCCATCCAGCTTCTGTTTAAAGGCTTCCAAAGAAGGAGCCTCCACCACACTCCGGGGCAGAGAGTTCCACTGCTGAACAGCTCTCACAGTCAGGAAGTTCTTCCTACTTTGCATAATGTAATATATCTGCATACTTTGAAACCAAACAGATAACTCCAAAATAGTGAGACGTGAAACTGTACTGAAACTCCATCCCATAGGTCTTGGGGTATAGTTATTTTTCACCTTTGTCTCCTTAGGAGTCCTTTATTTTATTGTCGAAGGCTTGCATGGCCGGAATCACTGGCTTGTTGTAGGTTTTTTTTTGGGCTATATGGCCATATTCTAGAGGCATTCTCTCCTGACGTTTCACCTGCATCTATGGCAAGCATCCTCAAAGGTTGTGAGGTCTGTTGGAACTAGGGAAATGGGTTTATATATCTGTGGAATGACCAGGGAAGGACAAAGAACTACTGTCTGTTGGAGCTAGGTGTGAATATTTCAACTGACCACTTTGATTAGCATTTGATGGTCTGGGAGTTGTTTGGTGTGGCTTGTAGGTGCCTAGGGCAATCTTTTGTTAGGAGGTGATTAGAAGTCCCTGATTGTTTCCCCTCTGTTGTTTTGCTGTTGTAATTTTAGAGGGTTTTTTTTAATACTGGTAGCCAGATCTTGTTCATTTTCATGGTTTCCTCCTTTCTGTCGAAATTGTCCACATGCTTGTGGATTTCAATGGCTTTGCTGTGTAGTCTGACATGGTGGTTATTAGAGTGGTCCAACATTTCAACATTCACACCTAGCTCCAACAGACAAGAGTCCTTTGTCCCACCCTGGTCATTCCACAGATATATAAACCCCTTTTCCTAGTTCCAACAGACCTCACTACCTCTGAGGATGCTTGCCATAGATACAGGCAAAACATCAGGAGAGAATGCCTCTAGAACATGGCCATATAGCCTGAAAAAACCTACAACAACCCAGTCCTTTATTTTCTGCTTTCAAGTCTTGCTTCTCTCTGTTTGAAGAAAAAAGTTGTTTGGGATTCTTTCCATGTCTCCAACAGGAGCAGAATGGGCCGGCCCTGATGAGAAAGAGGAATGCCTACCGGGAGATCCAGAACCTGTGGAACTCCCCGCCGCTTCAGCATGGGAAGGAGCAGGGAATATTTACCAAAGCTGTGAGCCAACCAATACCTCTGGTAGCCAGAGGAGGGCAGAGGCTCAACGGGAAATCCACCTCCTGGAAAAAGCAAATGAAGCTGTTCTTTCTTGGGAAAATGGTGAGGTGAAAACAACTGACCAAGGTAAGCAATGAAACCCTGGCAGGACTTGGCAAGACTTCCCTTGTCCACTGTTTGGCTCTGTTTAGCAATGTCAGTTGAGTATCACTTACCCGAAATGCTTAGAACCAGAAGTGTTTTCAATTTCTTTTAGTGGGTTTTGGAATACCTGTGTTTGCATATACCTAGCTCAGGCATGGGCAAACTTGGGTCCCCTTCCAAGTGTTTTGGACTTCAACTCTCACAATTCCTAACTGCCGGTAGGCAGTTAGGAATTGTGGGAGCTGAAATCCAAAACACCTGGAGGGGGACCCAAGTTTGCCCATGCCTGACCTAGATAATGAGATATCTTGGCTGAAACAAAGTTCATTTATGTTGGCTATGGCTATGACTCTTGCTTTCCTCCAGATTTTGGGGATCTGACAGGATGCAGTGCAGTTGTTCATCTGCTATAATAATAATAATAATAATAATAATAATAATAATAATAATAATAATAGGATTTAAAGATCAAACTGCAAAGACTCTAGCACAAGCCAGTCAAGTGGTCCCAGTGGTGATTGGCACACTGGGTGCAGTGCCTAAGGACCTTGGCCTGCAGTTAAACACAATCGGCGCTGACAAGATTACCATCTGCCAGCTGCCAAAGGCCACCCTACTCGGAACTGCATGCATTATTTGCCAATACATCACACAGTCCTAAACACAAGGGAAGTGTCCAATGTGTGATCCAATGTCTGGCTGTTATATTGGACTCATCTTGGACTCATATGCTGTGGACTAATCTTGTTGTGTTTCAAATAATAATAATAATAATAATAGGATTTAAAGATTGAACTGTGAAGACTCTGGAACAAGCCAGTCAAGGTGGTCCCAGTGGTGATCGGCACACTAGGTGCAGTGCCTAAAGATCTTGGCCTGTACATAAACACAATCGGCGCTGACAAAATTACCATCTGTCAGCTGCAAAAGGCCACCCTACTGGGATCTGGCAGAGTCAGAGGCGATCCCTCGTTGGATGAGTAAGATGGTCTTCCATGATGGGTTTCCTTATGGATTCGTAGGTGGCTGTGGAGCCCTATTCTTGACCCTCCTCTTCTCCCACAGTGAAGGCATTGGTTTCCAGGTGGAAGGCGGTCCCGGTCGGGGTTGGCTTGACGTGCCTTCCTCCTGGCACGTTTCTCTCTTTCACCCTCCACTCGTGCCTCCTCGAATTCTGCAGCGCTGCTGGTCACAGCTGACCTCCAGCTGGAGTGCTCAAGGGCCAGGGCTTCCCAGTTCTCAGTGTCTATGCCAGAGTTTTTAAGGTTGGCTTTGAGCCCATCTTTAAATCTCTTTTCCTGTCCACCAACCTTCCGTTTTCCGTTCTTAAGTTCAGAGTAGAGCAACTGCTTTGGGAGACGGTGGTCAGGCATCCGGACAGCGTGGCCGGCCCAGCGGAGTTGATGGCAGAGGACCATCGCTTCAATGTTGGTGGTCTTTGCTTCTTACAGCACACTGACGTTTGTCCGCTTGTCTTCCCAAGAGATTTGCAGGATTTTCCGGAGGCAGCGCTGACGGAATCGTTCCAGGAGTTGCATGTGACGTCTGTAGACAGTTCACAGTTTCGCAGGCATAGAGCAGGGTTGGGAGGACAATAGCTTTATAGACAAGCACCTTGGTATCCCTACAGATGTCCCGGTCCTCAAACACTATCTGTTTCATTCTGGAAAATGCTGCACTCGCAGAGCTCAGGCGGCGTTGTATTTTGGTGTCAATGTTGACTTTGGTGGAGAGGTGGCTGCCAAGGGATCTGCACACATTGTTCACCAATACATCACATAGTCCTAGACACTTGGGAAGTGTCCGACGTGTGATCCAATACAACAGCCAGCAGAGTGATCTTGTCTGCTGTGGACTCATCTTGTTGTGTTTCTAATAATAATAATAATAATCATCATCATCATCATCATCATCTTGTTGTGTTTCTAATCATCATCATCATCATCATCATTTGAAAATACATCACACAGTCCTAGACTCTTGGGAAGTGTTCGACTTGTGATTTTGTGATACAAAATCCAACATATAGATCTCGTTTGCTGTGACATACTGTAGTTTTTTGTCAAAATAATAATAATAATAATAATAATAATAATAATAATAATAATAATATATTTTTCCAGCTGATGATACATGGGCAAGTGAGAACGAGAAACCAGTTGAAACACTATTGGACAGAATAAAGTCTGAGGAACTGAAGACTCAAGATGGGGCAACAAGGCAAAGCGGGAACCACACAGAAAATTGGGGAGATAAATACATTCCTTACCAGAGCAAAGATGTCCGTGGGACACCGCCGCAGCCACGGAGAGATGCAGAAAAGAGATGGAACGGGTGCCTCCGCGCAGAGAAGGAGGCAAATGAAAACATCAGACCTGAAAAGAGTTTCCATTGGAATCAGTCTGTGCCCGGTTGCCACGCTGTCCTCAAAGACAAGAAGCTCTACCCCTGTTTGGAGTGCGAAAGAGGCTTCCATCACAGCTCCAGCCTCCCTTCCCACCCGAGGAGTCCGGCAGCGGAAAGACCCTACAAATGCTCCGGCTGCGGGAAGAGCCTCAGTTCACACCAGAGAGCAAGGACGTACCATTGCTTGGATTGCAACCACACCTTCCACGACCAGCAGAAGAGAAGCCATGCCGGGGAGAAACCCTATAAATGCTCAGAGTGTGGGAAGAGCTTCAGCCAGACCGCCAGCCTCGCTTTGCACCAGCGGACGCACACCGGCGAAAAGCCCTACGGCTGCTCCGAATGCGACAAAGCTTTCGGCGATCAGTCGAGTCTGGTTAAACATAAGAGGATCCACGCCGGAGAAAAGCCCTTCAAGTGCTTGGACTGCGAGAAGAGTTTCGGCCAAAGCCCGAGCCTGAGTTTGCACCAGCGGATACATGCCGGGAAGAGGCCGTATAACTGTTCCGATTGCAGCAAGAACTTCTCGGACCCGGCGGGCCTTATTAAGCACAAGAGGATTTACACGGGAGACAAGCGCTACGCCTGCATCCAATGTGGCAGGAGTTTCAGCCAGAGCATCAACCTCAATTCGCACCAGAGAATCCATGTGGAGGAAGAAACACCACTATGAAGTGTTCAATTTGTTTAGTTCGGGTATGGGCCAACTTGGGCCCTCCAGGTGTTTTGGACTCCAACTCCCACAATTCCTAACAGCCTACCGGCTGTTAGGAATTGTGGGAGTTGGAGTCCAAAACACCTGGAGGGCCCAAGTTGGCCCTTGCTTGGTTTAGTTCAACAGGGCTCAGATATTGGAGTTCTTAGGGCATGTCTAAATTAGTAAAAACATAAAATGTATTCAGCCCCGAATCCGCCGCTTGCAGTCTTCATGACGCAATATAACTTCCGCCAAGAATCCAAACTGTTTAGGTCGTGACTTTGCCTCGTATTTAGCCAAGTCAAGGGATAATCCAGAGTTTGCAGGAAACTCCGTAGTATCCTCAGGGGGTTGCCACTATGTAAACAGGTGAATTGGTTTCTATTAAGCTGGATTCATTATTATCCACATGCACGCCAATATCGTCACCCTTCCTTTGCAGGAAAGGGGATGAATCGCCCTGTTATGGCCTCACAGCTCCTCATCAACTAAGGCGTTCCCTGCAAAAACATGGCCGTATCTGCTGAGGTCTTAATGACATTGAATCTTGTCAATCAAACTGTTTGATTGACAAGAATGATGGAACAATCATAGAATCTTCCAAGTTGACCTTTGCCTGGTTTAGTTTAACAGGGCTCAGATATTGGAGTTCTTAGGGCATGTCTAAATTAGTAAAAACATTGTGTATCTTCACATTTATTTTTATTTATTTTTGCCGAAGTGGAGTATCTTGCATTTGTCACTGTTGAGCTTCACTGCAAAGGCCATCCATTGAAGTTCAATAGTGACAAATGCAAGATACTCCACTTAGGCAGAAAAAATGAAATGCAACGATACAGAATGCAGGACGATGCCTGGCTCGAGAGCAGTACGTGTGAAAAAGATCTTGGGGTCTCGGGGATAACAAGATAAACATAAGCCAACAATGTGATGCGGCGGCAAAAAAGCCAATGGGATTTTGGCCTGCATCCATAGGAGTCTAGTGTCTAGATCCAGGGAAGTCTATTCTGCCTTGGTTAGATCCCACCTGGAAGATTGTGTCCAATTCTGGGCACCACAATTGAAGGGAGATGTTGACTCTAAGCTGGAATGTGTCCAGAGGAGGG